AAAGAACGAAGGAGGAAAGATTGTCCAAATATAAAAAGATGTAACGATCAAGTAGCGATTGAATTCTAATAAATTGTTAAACTCATCATCGACCGATACTCGTAATTCTTTGCATCCAAGAAGTACGATTATTCCCTTTTTTTTTGGAGCTCGGTGGTCGAAGATGTTCGCCAAAATGTTGATCATTCTTGGATGATGGTTTTTTCGGAGATTGTGGTGTGGTGCTTGGCTGTGATTCATGAAGCTGGTTGTTATTTTCATCTTGTATTGAGAAATCAAATGCTGGCACGGGTAATGGAGGTTGTTGTTGAGATCGAGGTTGAATCGGTTGCAATGGAGAATTATTAGCTTGACTCGATTTGAGGTTACTTTCGCTAGTTGATCGTCCATGTTTCTGCAAAGTATTATTAGAGAAAATACTCTCACTTGATGCACGTCGGAATCTATTGAATAATTGGGTTGGAGCTATTAATCCAGTGTAACGTTTTGTAGTTTCTTCTCCAGATGACGATGAAGCTCTTGAAAAGGTGGGTGAAGAAGGTTTCTTCTCATTGGAATCATCTTCCACTTCCACATATTCTCCATCTTTATTCTTTTTCCTTAAACTCAATTTTTTCCGTAATCTGCTTCCTCGTTTCTCTATGACTTCTTTGTCCTCTGGATGCACGCCGTATGCGGTTGACCCTTCCAAGAAACTATCCATATACTGTAGCGGATCATAAGCGGTATATCGATGATTATTATAGGTACGATACACTTCATTGTGATTCTCGCCGTTGTATGACCTGGATAATGGATTAGCATCTTGGTTGAATCGCCGACTCGGTTGGGATGACGGTCTTAATTCATTGTGGTTTTTTTCGTCACTTTGTTGGAATGCTAATACTGGTGCTTGCGCATTATTATTTCTGTATGGTAAAACACAATCATATGGACTTTCATGATGCAAGGCTTTTATATAACAAATTAAATTGATTATTCGATTAATTTAATTGTAAGCATCAGTCTCAATTCAATTAATAAAAAATGACATACTTGTTCCGCCATAAATATTACTTAAATCTAATTGATCAATTTTATCAATAAATTGTTTTTTTCGATTATTCTCAACACGCATGCGTCTTTGTTCTCTTGGAGTCGCTGTTGGTGGTAAAGGCGCGGCAGACTCCGATTTGCTTCGTAAATGACTGTTGCTTTGTGAATGGCCAAAGCCATTATTGTAATAGCTTAAACGTTGTGGTGTAGGTTGTTGGTGGATTGGAAGTAACTCGGCGAGCACAGGTTCTTCTGTCTCGTCAAACATTTCGGGTTGTGCTAAAGGCGATGAAGAAGTGGGAGTATACTGATGTTCGAAAGGTCTAGGTGGAGTATTAATGGTATTTGTTGTATCGTGGTCGATAATTGAATGCGTAAATGGGTTAGGTCCGAAGCGTATAGCACTCGTGGGTGTAATATAAGGATTGGAATCTAGGCCACTGCCTGTCACTGGTTTAGCGTTTGAAGCTGTTATGGACATTTTTTACGAGTTTTGTATGTGAATTAAAGTTTAGAAAGAATGATATCGGTATTTTTTGTTGATTATTTCTTATAAATAGCTGCAATTTCACTATCAGCACGATATAGTGTTGGCAACGTGTGAATAGTATGCATGCAACATTTGTACTTTAATCCAACATCGCATTGGGAAAAGTGCGGAGATGATATCTGTACGACAAGATAAAAAGACAATCGGCTTGGATAATTCCTAAATTTGCTTACCCAAATATCAAATTCATAAACTGCTATTGTATCTGAACTCGTGTCTTTTTCCCGTGCTACATAACATATTCCACAACCTATTTTCTATGACACACACGTAAAGGACAATTGCCTTCTTTATTATCGTAACCCAATGTTCATTTATTTTGTGAAACATGATTGCATCTCCTATATCAAGCGAATTTTCACACTGTTTTCACACAATTTTAATTAATAAAATTATTTGAAAACGACTTGCATAATGAGCTTATGTAAGTCACGTAGAAAAGGAATAGAATTAATGAATTTAAAATTTTGAGGCTTAAACGTAGACAGAAATTCGTCATTCCAGCGAGTCAGAATCAAGATAAAGGTAAGTTAAATATAAGGTGGTTTCTAGTTCAAGGTTTGTTATCGTTTATGTATACAAAACGACTCGGATTCGTCTCTCGAAGTGTACGTTGTAAATAGAATGGGACATTGGTGGATTCGGAACCACAAAATGAGATTTTTATAGTGGATCCCGAACCCATCAATCCCGTACATATGTTTGGAAAGTTAAATAATATCTCCTCACTAATACGTGATTCTAACTACAATAATTGAACCGGGGTCTGTTGAAGTTTTTCAAAATATTCTTCCGGTAAATAATCCTTTCCCTTTAAAATCCTACGTAAATATTCCCTAGTGGGCAATAATCCTTCCCTAATGAAGGGAGGCGCGCCAATATATACTACCGCTCGAGTACTCTTCACAGGATCTTTTTTCCCGAGTTTGTTCCCATTCAAAAATTCGCCATCCAGCCCGTACCTCCAAAGTCTATCCTCAGTAAGCGGCATTAAGATATCCGCTTCCACTCGTACATACCTTCCTTTTTCGACCTCCTCATACCAGTCAAGATTCTCAAATGATTGACTATTACAACCTTCATACACGATTCCATACACATTCTCCCCCGGATGTGACATGATGTTCGCAGCGGCCTTTGTCCCACCGTCTGAGTTGAATGCAAGACGATAATCACGCATTGCAGCCGCGTATCGGTTCGTCCACGGAACCTTTCGTTCATTCATTTGGTCAGCGGACATGTTTGAGCCGTAAGCGAAACAAGTATCAATCGTCGGTAATGGTGGAATTTCGGCAAAGACTGTAGCGTTTGCTGTTGAGTCGGGGGATAGAGTCAATGCAGAAGAGGAATTTGGCCACAACCATGTTAAAGGATTAAATCTAGACATGATTTGATAATTTTGAGAGGCATTCAAGAATAAAAAAACCAGTAAAATGATTTGAAAGGAATTGTCTGACTTATATTCATTTTGATTGTGAAACCCACACACCATTTCTTGCATTTTGTGCTACTTTTTAACAATTTCACAATTAATCACGATTATGTCGCGAAGCAAAAGTGAACTTGTCCTTTTTAGCATGATTGGTAAATTATTTATCCGTTCACTAACGCTCAAAATTTCGTCATCTTTTTCGCAATAGGTTAGTAATAGGTTAGTTAGTGGGTTAAAGAAACCTTTTCATTCATCACTTTCTGGGTCAACATAGAATCGTCTTTTTAGAATTTCGAAAATGTTAGTCAAGATTATTCCCTATTGATACGAAATTGAAAAACCAAATTTAAAAACAAAGAATTCATTCCTTTTCGCAACTACTTTTTCATTGTTTCATTATGATATCATCGAATAGAAAATTTTTTTCGACCCTATTGTTTTTTTTAAGATATTAATAATGTTTTTTTTGTGGAAGCAGTGGGGAACAATAGTATCACGTTGTTAGAAATCGCTTTAGAATAGTATCACTTTGGAATGGTTAGTAAGTAATACTTGCGCACCGTAGTCAGACTCAAAATTTCTTTCTTTTCATGATTTTTTCAGAGAAAAACAATAAAGAAATGAGAACAATGAAATCTGAGGGTTCAAATTTAATTGGACCGTTCAAAACAATGATTGTTTGAATGGTGACTATCGCTATATACAAGAGATGCAAAATGATTAAGTGTAACCAGGTAACTTTACTATTTTCAAAAAATATGTTCGATCCCCGCTTGCAAAAAAATTTTAGACAGGGATTATTCTTTATCTTGCATCACTCTTTATCATGCCATTGTTCGGAAGCAGCACAAATTTATTATTCATTTAATATATACTCCTCACACACGCACGTTCTATAATTCTAAACTAGGAAAACAAGAATCGAAAATTAGGTGATAAAAAGTAACACGTAATACCGATGCGTACATGGGGTTGCACATAATTTCTGAAGTCCCGAAAAAATTAGACTACGTATCTTTTTCATTGTCTGTAATCGAGAAATCTTAACTTTGTTTAAAAATGAGATAATGTGTGTACAATGTCCTTTTTTTTCGCACAAATTGTTAGTATATATTTTTTTTTAGGAAAAACTATATTCCATTTAAATATTATTTTTTTTGGTGGGGTGACGAGGAGGCGGGAAACAAAGAACTTAAAATCAATGGCAAAATATATTTCCTAAGTTCATACATAATCCTACTAATATCTAAATGACCACTGATATACTATTAATCAATGTATTGTCCTGATCCTGTTCTTTGTTAAAATTCTCTTTTTGTGCACTTTGTATAATTCCCGTATTTGCCTTGTACACTCTTTCTCGCGTGTGCATATATCATGTACGTGAATGAGTATATTTACTCAAAAAGAGTATAATGCGGGACGACGCAAATCTGTCGTAATGGAAATTTACTCAATTAACAGAAAAACTAACAAATAATACAATGATTATCACGGAACATTATAATTTTTATTTTTAGACATAAAGTCAATGTTGTATTCTTTGTATAACGAAAAAAGTATATATATTACGGGAGACGGAGTAATAATCTCAACAGAAAAATCCCAGATATTTCAAAGTATTTTAGAAGATAACAAACACACCCATTATTAGCTAATCGAAAATATTCACTTTCCGATAATCCAAAACAAGCTGGAGATACTAATCAATACACAAACTTTAATCACCTCCGAAAATTTACCATTGCAACAACTTCAACAAAATCGCCAGCAACAACATCAACAACAACAACAACAGGATAAAAGCTCAAAAAATCCCTCATACCAAAAAGAAAATATTGAGAATATGATGAACCATTTCTTGCCAATTGAACTTGCTGGTAGTCAACAACCGCTTTTGATAGTTGACGAGAGATTACTGGTGGTTCAAGATAATGTTGGATTATTCGATGGGTGAGTTGAAGAGATATCGAATATTTAAATTTTTGTATCAAAATCCACTAATCCAACGATTTTTTTTTTTAATGTAGAGTCGAGAAAAATACAAAATATGGAAATGGTAAATTATATTTGACATCACATCGAATAATTTACGTCGACTCTAAACAACCTGGCAATCATTCGATCGCGCTCGATCTAAAACTTGTCAGAGGACTCGAGTATATGGTGAGATATCAATTCATTTACGTTTAAATTTATCTTTGATTCTTTGCGCCCTTATTCATATAAAATAAATTCGATTCTTAGACTGGATTATTTAAATCATCACGTAAAATCATCCTTCACTTTTCATTCTCAAACGATAACGAAATCACCCAAGCCTCATTCCCAGCAACATGGATCTGTCCATCATGTTCTTTCGGAAACACAGCACGCCTTGCACTATGTCAATTATGCGGCGAGAAACAACCAGAAACACCGCCACTATCTCCAACCTTAAAAAATACTTTCTCGCAAGATTCTTCGATCGAGAGACCATGTCACGCGTGTACCTACATGAATAAACCCACTTTGCCTAAATGTGAATTGTGTGGTGCTGGACTCACAATGGCCTATTTGGACCAAAATGAGGTTTGCGATCTGAGTGGTGTGAAAACAAGCGAAGAAGTTATGCGAGGATCGAGAACGGGAGAATATGTGAGACTTTCGTTTAAGAAAGGAGGATGTAGTGCATTTTTTGAGAAATTGCAAGTTGCAATGACAATGAAAGTGTGGGAGGTAAATTGAATTTTTTAATTATTATTATTGTTATATTGTGTTTATTTATGAAATTGGTTTCTTTGATTCTAATATTGTTTCTTTTTATTCATTTTTAAAGAAACGAGCGAATCGTTTTTAAAGAATCCTTTTATATTCAAATTTTTGATAAATCAGAACTCGATTCAGCGACTATGCGATTTAATTAAAACTTAATTTAACAAAGATGAAATCATATGTCATCCCTATGAATGGGGAAAAATTGCGATATAAACAACAACCACCAATTAAGCCTTAAAAAAATCAATATAATCATCATTTAAGCTTTACCCATATGCAAATTATCCTTTTCCATATTCAAAACCATTAATTCTTAATATAGCAAAGCACCGTCAATATATACTTTATCACTAAGACAAAAACTAAACCTCAAAATTACACGCTTCTTATTTAATAATTAGTAAATTTTTTAATATATAGTACATAAAAGATAGATTGTAAATTTAATTATAGACAAAATTTTTATTTACTGAATAGCATTTCTTGTCTCATTATCTTTTCATTTTATACATTTTTGCCGGACAAAAAATTCCAAAATTCCATATTCGAGAAAAAATCACATTTTGAAAACACAAAATAACCAAAATCTACACCTAACACTAAAATCTTTAATTGCATTCAAAAACTTTAGCATAGCTTTTATTCTCCTTTAATTCTTATCAATCTTCATTCTTCCCATTTTCTTCCCATCCTAATAACATTTCTTCCTATTCTAATAACATTTCTCCCCATCCTGGTAACGTTTCTTCCTTTACAAAATGATGCAAAACATGTATTATCATTTTATTAATTTTTTCTTCTTTAATTGTATTTTTTTTTTTAATTTAATTTCATTTATAGATTTTTTTTTCTTTGGGTTCTGCATGTAGTAAATAATGTTATATATTAATAGTGGCAAAAATTTTTTTTAGTATAATAAATAAAAAATTTATCACAGCAAATTATTAATGTTAATCGATGAAAATTTCTTTGAATGTTTTGAATACATAGTGAATCTTGATATAACGAATGGTCCGGGTCTATTAGTAAAAATTTGTCAAAAATTTATTATATCACGAGTTTTATTAATTAATTCACTATATCCAGAGATTTTTTATCTCAATGTGATGATGGTTTTTTTTCTTCGTCGTTTTGTTTGACGTTGACACGATGTGAGTCACCAAATCCGTGCACGTGAAGATTCAAGTCAACGTCATACCGATACCTATACAACATCGTTGAAAGGTTTTGGTGGTTGTGCGAAACTCTCATATTGCGTATAGGCTTATCTTTATTTGATCGAAAAAAAAATCCGGTTCACGTTTCCCGTGTTCCAAGAAATAACCATTAACCTTACACCACCCCTAACCCTTCAACAAATAAAAGAAAAAAAGGACAAAAAGCAGTTGGTTTTCCTACCATACCTCACTGTTTTTTGGTCGCCTTTCTCTCGTTCGTTAGCGTCTGTCTACAAAGCCGGTGTATCACCACTAATTCTCAATCTTTATTTGTAAGTCTCGTTTGGGTTATTCTCGATTTTGCCTTTTTTCCGTTGTCAACAAAAAGATTCATAAAAATCAGGATATACGTAGCCACATGCAACGCAAATCGCACACTCCGAGTCGTTCCAATACTGCCACATCTGACAACTCTAACCAACGATCCGCAGGGAATAATAATAACAATACTCACTCAAACTCCAACAACTCAAACTCAAGTAATAATAATAACGTTTCTAATTCTACTGTTAAAGGTTTAAGTAAGATGATTTTCTGCTCTAAATAATCGTTGCTAATACGAAAGCAAATCGATATTCAATCCTTTGCATTAAATTAACTGTGTTCCTGAATAATTTCCCAAACAGAAAACGAAGAACTTAAACCTTATAAAATTGACGATAATCGGGGAGAGTCGCAACAACAGCAACATTACCAACAGCAACATCAACAGCAGCAGCACCACCAACAGCAACACCATCAACAGCAACACCATCAACAGCAACATCAACAAGCATCTCAACAACATCAGCAACAAAAAGGTTTAGAGTGGGCTCTTGGGCTCTCTATTCGAGTGAAAACTTTGACGGATGAAGAATACGAAGGACAGATCTATGCATACGATACAAAGACCAATTGCGTTGTACTTCATATCCTTTTCTTTCTTTTTTTTGTGGGTTATTTCTTATAATCGCACGGTTATCATCGTGAATAATCATTATCCTTAATTCTCAAACGTGAATGAATCTCTATATTCTAACACAATGTCCATCCACCGTTAACTTGACATATACCAGCACGAGTAGCACTCCAAAATATGATTTTCGAATTTTAAAGATTAATTTCTTGAAAGAAGTGACTCAATTGCCGAGTCAAAAATCATCCGTTGATGGAAATATTAATAATCATAATACCATTAATAGTAATAGTAATTCAATTAACAATGTCAATAATCATCATGGTTCCACCATTAATACGTCGGTGAATGGACAGAATGCTACATCAAATGATGCCACTAACACCACTACTAGTGTGTTCGCCACAACGTTCCCTTCCGTGAGTTATGTGCAAATGGAAAGAATACAAGCAAGGGAAATGCAAGCATACAGGGAAACGCAGGCATTTTTGGCAAGAATTGGTGTTGGTGTGACTGTTGAGGCACAAGAGATTTTCGACGCCCTGAGTAAAACGTGCGGATTTTTTTTTTTACTTATGAGTATTTTAATAAATATTTTTTTTGTAAAATTTATCTATAATGAATCAATATATCTTTTTATAGGTTGCCGGTGCGATGGGCTGAAGAAAAAATTGTGGTTTTAGATGAGGTGGTTATTAATCCACCATATGATTTGGAAAATTGTAAAGCAAACTCGAGTGCATCCGGTTCGTTGGCACGTGTCAAGAAAGTGGTATGTTTTTCGATTTCGTCGTTGTTAGTACCCATAAAATTGGTCGATGATCTCATTAAAAAAATTTATCTTTGTATCTTTAGCTTGAAGGAGAAAAGAAAAGGTTGTCGAGTGTGAGAAAATAATTCTGCAACAACAAAAAAACAATAAAGACTTTTAAATTCGGAAAAATTAACAATCGGACTTTATAATTCGGATCATTTTTCGTTTTTTTTCAATCTTCTATATGTGTATCCGCGGTTGGGTTCACACGGTTTCTTTAAAAAACAAATTTACTCATTTTATATTCCCTAATTTGCCATAAAAAACACTGGCGCAATAGCAGCATCGGTTCAATAGGAATTATTATCGGGCTTAATTCCGAGATTTGAATTCTAATTTAACAACAGAATTCATGATATGCAAATTGCTATTGTTTGCTGATCATAGTTGATTTGAATTTATCAGCAATTTTATCTCAAATTAAAATGTCATCATTTCTTTTTCGTTCGGTCTCGAAACTCACCGTTTCTTTTCCGTCGCGCAATATCTCGCGTCGTACTTTACAGACATCAACAGCGAAAGTAACACCATTTTATACAAATTCCATTAACACGTGCTTTGGAAATAATAACCTAAATAGTTTAACTATTGGTAAAAGAAATTTTCACGCTGCAAGGATAAATCAGCAACACGTCGCTTCATTATCTTCCATTATCTCCCTTACTACTATCAAATTCTCCCTTGCCACGCAATCTCGTCGCGCCTTGACAAATATAACGTACGCTCAACTAAAACAACGTAATATTATGTCAGTTACCGGGCATCTTTTATCGCCTAATAACGTGTATCCAAATCGTGATTACTCTTCGAATTCTTCGTCTCACGACAAAAATGACGTTTCTGAATCAACCACCACTGCTATTAATAGTGAGCACAGTAATAGTCATCCTGAATTAACACGGTGGTCGTGGGCATGGTGGAAAGAGTGGACTATAATTTTTATAGTGTTTGGTATCACTGGATCGACTACTGTAAGATGTGTTAGGCCCCTCGTATCAAATTTGTTTGGGATTGAAGGTATTTTATCCATGTAGGTTCCTTTAAATTATGATCGTACATTTTTAGTAACGTTAATGTCTTGTCTGTTCT